CAGTGCCGTCCTCAAAGCAGCTACTCCAAGCATGTGATGCTGGATGAACTCTGCAATTCCACTGCTGCTCCTCTCTGCCCTGCACCCACTGGGCCACCCAAAGTCCTGCACAGCTCCCAGGATGGGCTAACTGCAGCCTGTGATTTGGTACCCAAATATCAGCGGTCTCTGGTACTAACTTTTCTGCCACACCTTTTATCCTCTTCCCTTTGTGGTGCTTAGGGCTGTTGTAGCCACATGGCATTTGGTCCAATGGAAGGAACAAATCCATGGAAGGGGTTGGGAGCTCCTCTTCAGCTTGGCCTTGACCAAGTGCCATCCCTGCTGTTTGGAGACAGATAGACCAAAAGAGGCTGCAGGGTGGGAGGAATGGCTGGGTAGGCTCTGTGTCAGGCAGAGGTGCAGGCTGGGAGGGGAAAGCACAGAAGGTGCTGGTGAGGGGTCAGCAAGGAACTGGGCTGGGTTAGTCTGGCCAAAAGAGGTTGAACAGGGGTCTATTTGGAGCTTACACCTCCCTAGAGGGGAAGGTACAAAGATGGTGGAGTGACACTTTCCTTGGTAGCAGCAGCAGATGATGTAACACGGGGCAGCAGCCACACATGGTGGCTTGAGGGAGTCAGGATAGGTGTTAGGGAAGACTTTTTCCCTGCTGGATGGCGCAGCTTTGGGATGGACATCTGGAGAGGTGGGGTCGGTCCATCCTTAGGGGTTTTCAAGGCAGGACCCAGTGCTAGTGACAGTCCTGGCACTGTTGGTTGGGTGAGTTCTGAGGTCCCTTCCCACCTTTGCTATAACAAGTCTCCAAATGTTTGGATGCTGATCCATAAAGCAGCCCCAAAGCCTTCGCCTGCCTGTGGCCAGAAAGTTCTCTGAGAACTCATCTAGGCCCTGTAAAGAGTCTTTGGTGACACCAGCACTCAGCCTGCATGTGCCTGCCACTGGTCTGAGCAGTGACAGGGTGTTGTCTGGTCTCACTGCTTCCTTGGAAATCAGTGTTCCTCCATGTCCCACGGTTGGTGGCCTCTTTCCAGCCAGCATAGCAAATCTCAGTCCAGAATAATTAACAAGAAGACTAAGAGCATGAGGCTACAGCAGCTGGAATGGGCAGAGGACGGAGGAAAGCAGCAGAGCAGTCTGGGGAGATGTGAGATCTTCTGGACAAGGACAGGAGAAGGAGAAATTGGTGCCAGTGGCAAGCAGAGGAAATCCTCCCTTCTCTGTACCTCAGAAATGTTGGAAGTGGCATGGGAGCATCCTCTCTACCCTGGGACAAGTGCCAAGGCTCAGTTGTTGTCCCAGATAAGCAGTGAGGAACAGCAAAAACAATCCAGCAGCTCAGCCAAAGTGTGGCACTGCCTGTGATGGTCTTAGCAGGAACAGGGGCCTAAAGTGCCTCCTATGACAACCCCTGTGACACCATGATGCCCAAAATAAAATCCATTGCCTTTCTACAGGTGGGTGAAGGAGGTCTGGGATCCCAGAATGAGTGGGCAGGAGGCAGGAGCCCAGCTGGAGAGGGACATCCCTCGTTATCACCTGAGCTGGTCACCTGCTTGTTTAAGAATGAGAAAGAGCGCTTGGACAATGCAAAGCTGAGAAACTGTGTGAAAACACAAGATTGTCCACAACTGGCTGTCATTTCAAGCCTCACCTTGATTTCTCAGCTGATTTCTACCTGTTTCTGTCTCAAGTACTTTTTTAACCCCCTTTCTAGGACCTGCTAGACCAACCTTGTTGGCTGTGTGCACCTCACAGCTTTTACTCCTGTTCCCTGCTGAGGCTCTGCCATTCTCATTGTTTGCAGACAGGACAGCACGGTTGGAGCTGCTTGTGTGGGACATTATCACGGGGTTCACTGTCCACGTGTCCACCCTGATGAGGAATTGATGTGGGAGAGGTAAGTGGATGCTGAATGGGTCACAGCATCCCATCTTAGTAGAGATGGTATCACAAGGACAAAGCTCTGGTGCAGCCCTTGGCCAGACTGCAGAGCCAGATGCTGTTGAGTGATACTTTAGGAGGAAAAGTGTTGGTGTAAAAATACATCGCTGTAAGGCATGGATAAGCAAAGTCCAAACCCAAGTGTCTCCTGCTCCTGCACTGGTTCAGCTGGTGTGACCTTGGATCACATACTTAAAGCTGAGCATCTCCAGGTTGAAGTGGAGTCCTCAGCCAAAATCTCTGCAGAGGCATCACCATTTCCTGGTGGACTGGCTCACCTGCACAAGCTGGTAGCAGTGACAGCTTCATTTGTCCCAGCTTCTGTCCATCCCTTTAAGTTCCTGGGGGGAGAAAACATCCCCTGTGTGTGCAGCTGGTTGGACCGTCAAGGGCTGCATGGGTTGAAGCACATGCTGCAGTGCTTTGGGAGGGGAGAGGCTGCCTGGGTGTGATGTTTATGAAGATATCAAAGGGATTGTGAGCCACAAGATACTGGGATGTAGGGATGCTGCCACCACATACAGCTCTGAGGGGTGGGTGTGCAAAGAGGATACTTATCTCCAGCCCAATGCCATGGATTAGCCTACAAAATAAACCAGAGGTTGTGGCCATCAGTACAATAGTGATGTGGTGGACCCACTGTTATTGCCCCAGCATGATGGACACATAAACTCTTCTGCTTGTGGCCAGGGGTTTCCTCCTCTGGAAGAGGCAGAATGTCTCCTCTGCATGTGTGTGCAGCATTGGGGTCCTTGGGGGTCTGATGAAAACCTGCTGCTGCTCCTGACTTCTACCCTTTTGTGCCTTCCTCCACTTGCCTCAGGCTCTGTACTCAAAGTCTGTAGAAAGTGTAACACCAAACCTAAACACAGAGAAAGCGCTGTGAGGTTACACTGGTTTTTGCTCAATTAGCACAGGAAGCAAATATTCCTGGTCTTTGTCAGGGCGGGCTCTCTCAGAGTCTTTGAGGAATGGTAGACAGCACTCCTCCTGGGAGTTATTCCTGCACAGCCTTATGGGACTGTCCCCCCATCTTGGGGACAAAGTTATGGTGAAGAGCAGTATCCCTGAAGAGTGGAGAAAGTCCTTGCTCTGATCTGCATCTGTCTGTGCTGAACTCCATGGGTGGCTTGGGGGAGCTCTTGCTGTGGTGCTCAGAGCCACTATGTGAAGTCTCTCCAGAACCCTTCTGCAGGACAGCATTTTAAATAAATAAATTGGAGTTTTTTAGTCAAAAAGTGGGAGTTTTCTCCTCTGACGCAGAACCTGGCAGGGATCAGGCTCTTTGGTTTAGCAGCTCATTACAAAGCCTTAAAAAAAGAAGTGGTCACTTTGCCACTGTGTGAGGGTTCCATACACAAACCCTCTGTGCTGCATGCAAACAGCTGCTGCTGCTAAAAGCCATAACCTAGAAAGCAGGGGAACATAAAGCTGATGCTCCCAGGAGGATGTTTCATCCCCTCCAGTACACCTCCTAATTCCTGTGATGGAATTCCTTGGCCCCACATGCACTTGGCTGTGGGCACCATCTCGGCGATGGTGTTTCCTGTATTGCCTTTCTGGTGCCAGGCTCAGAGTGCCCTGGGTTGTGCTGGACAGTGCTTGTGCTGAGTTTGGGGTTACATTTTCACAGGGTGCCTCTCTGTAGCCAGAGTCAGAGGCTGGGGCTGAACACTGTCAGTCAGTGGCAAATAGAGTCAGAGGCTGGGGCTTGAACAGGGCAGTGGACCCAGGTGTGGTGGGAGCTCAGCTGTGGTTAACCCAACTCGGCTCGCACTCTTCACAACATTCACATGAGCAAAACGATATATCCCTGAGCTGCTGCTGGAACGAAACTGTCACTAGAGCCAGGTGTGGACTCAGTTTGACTTTGAAGTGACATTCAGTGCCATGGGGACAGCACAGGTGTCTCCAGCCAGGCCAGTGGAGGACAGGGAACACACTTGGCTTTTGCAGTGTGGAGGGCTGTGGGACCCCCAGGGCAGGGCAGGGCTGATGTTTCCCCTCTTTCACCTGGTCTCGGTGCTGGGGAAGCAGCATGGGCTGGGCACAAGAAGTGCTGGTTAAGATAACAGGGCTCAGATCCCTGGACATCTCTCACTTGGCAGGTTGACCCAGGCTCTTGGGGTTTTACACTTATACCTCACAGAGGGACCAAGCTGGGGGCTGCAGTATGGAGGAATGTTTATGTATTCCATTTTCTGCTCATGTTATTCAGCTGCAGGCTGTGCTTTAGGATGTGGCCAACCGGGCATTCATGTGGGCAGGGAGAAAGGAAAGAAGATGGATAATGAGGGTGGTGAGGTCCTGGCTCAGATTGTCCAGAAAAGCTGTGGCTGCCCCATCCCTGGAAATGTCCAAGGCCAGGTTGGATACCAGGTCCAGCCCCAGGATGGGGCTTGGAGCAACCTGGGATAGTGGAAGGTGTCCCTGCCCATGGCAGGGGGGTTGAATGAGATGAAATTTAAGGTCCCTACCTACCCACATCACACATGGATTCCACGATTCCATGCCTCAACCCTGCTCCTCCTCCCAGGCCCAAGAACGTGGCTTTGCACGGGGCACCCATCGATGTCTGTGAGGATGGTTGTGGGGCTGCCCTGGCAGGAGGAACCAGGCTGCTGTCCCCGGGGAACCGGGGATGCTGTCGGGGCAGATTTGGGGCTGCTCTCTTGAGGCTCAGGGCCGCTGTCCCGGAGTTACAGGATCCCCGTGCTGAGCTCCCACGGCTGCTGTTATTGGGGCTCGGGGCTCTCACCGGGGGTCACAAAGGTGCCGTCCCGGGGCTCTCGGACCCCCGCGGGGCTGAGCCGCATCTCCCCGTCCCGGGGATGCGCGGAGGGAACGGCACGGCCCCGCCGCGAGATCAGAGCCCGGCGGGCCCTTTAAGAAAGTCGAAACCCGAAAGTTCATCAAAGTTGACAAAGTTTTTCGTGGAAAGGAGGGGAAAAAATAATTAAAATAACTCGAGCCCAACAACAAAAAAAAACCTCCCCGCGGTCCCGGGGGGCCGGGCCGGGCCGGGATTGGCGGCGGCGGCGCGGGGAAGGCAGGCGCGGCTGGCCCCGCTCCGCCCGGCCCGGCCCGGCCCTTAACAGCGGCGCCGTCCCGGGACGCCGTATGTGATCCGGGAGGGCAGCGCCGCACCGCCCCGCACCGCCCCGCACCGCCCCCGCGCACCAGCACCGCACCGGCACCCCGGCTCGGCCCCGCGGAGCTCCGGAGCAGCCGGCACCATCCCCACCCCGGCACCCCACCATGAGCAACCTCAACAAGGACACCGAGCACACCAACGGCGGCGGCACCGTCGAGGAGGAGGTGGGCGCCGGGCTGGGCACGGGAGATGGGGCGGCGGGGAGCTGCGAGCGGCACCGGGACAGCGGAGTGGCTGCGGAGCAGGGACGGGGCTGGGGCTGGGTCGCGACGGCGGCGGAGAACCGGGAGTGGCGACGGGACCGGGGACGGGGCGACGGGGATGGAACGCCGGGGTGTCGGGGGACGGCGGGGGGAGCGCAGCGTCGTCGGGGAACCGGGGCTGGGCTGTTCGGGATGGAGCAGAGCGGTGTCGGGCACCGCGGAGGCGGCACCGGGGCGTCGGGGAAGCCGGGAAGGAGCGCGGCGCCTCTTTTGGGGAATAGAGGACCCGGTGTCAGGGCAGGACGCCCGGCTCGTCGGGGAACCGGAGCCCGGATGCCGGGGCTGCTGCGGGCCGGGAGGCTGGGACCAGGCTGTGGGAGCCAGAGTACGGAGGTGCTGGCGAGCTGGTGGTGGAGTCGCCGGGCCGCCCCGAGAAGGTGCTGGGACCGGGCAGGGCGAGTCTCCTGCTCAGCCCGGTGTCCCTGTAGCCCTGTGGGACAGAGGGCTGGCAGGTCCCTGCTCCGTCCAGCGCAGCCGGTGCCCGTGAGCATGGTGTCCTGTTGTCACGTCCATGTAGCGGGAGGGCTCCTGGATCCCCAGCCGTGTGGGCTGCAAGGGAGACACTTGGACAATAGTGGAGGAGCCCTTGCCCTGCTCCCTGTGTGCTGGCAGCCTGGCTGGGGCTGGAGGACTGAGCTGACCTGCTGGCAGCCCCTTCCCCCAGATGCCACTGCAAGCCAGAGCCTGGATGCTGCTGGATTCAGGGTTGGGAAGGCTAGTAAGGGTCGGTTGTCTGTAGCCACACGCCAGAGCTTGCAGCCCTCCACATTTACACTTTGGCTGTTGGAGCCATTGGCTGATGTCATCGCTGCACCCCTGGAGCAGATATTGCCATAGCGGGTTACTAGCTGCCCTCCATCTTGGAGAGGGCTCTGGAAAATGCCTGGCCTTGGAAACGTTTTGCTGCAGTCCTCCGTGCCTGGCCCTCAGGACTGGGGAGGTGCTCAGTCCCCTCCCCTCGCTGTCCTCCGTGCGCTCTCGCCGCCGCAACATGGCGCCTGGCTTGCTCCACCACCCACCGGGGCAGCGCGGGCCCTGTGCCGCAGCTGACTTGGGGCTGTCGCGTCCCCTGGGCTTCAGCCCCGGCGAGGGTGACCCGAGTAATGGGGTGGAATGGATTGGCAGGTGGTGGCTGGGGCGCTGCTGTCCGCAGCGTGGAGCAGGGCATCGGTGATGCGCCGATGCAATGGGACGTGGATGCTGCGGGTGGGATGTCCCAGCGTCACCGGGTGGCACTGGTGTGGGTGGGCTGAGAGCCTGAGCACCTGGGGCCTGTGCTGCTCCTGGTGGAGGGAGGTTTGGTACCTGGGGGTTTCACAGGCTGTGCATGTGTGCGCAGAAGATTCTATGCAGCTCCTCAAGCCAGTTATTCACTGGCCTGCAAAGGTCCCTGAGGTTGGTGCCATTCGGTGCAGCCCATCCCAGTGGGATTGCTCCAGCTGGGCTGGTGCCTCACAGGTGGTGGTCAGGTGAGCTCCTGGTGCTGGGCAAGAGCCAGTCTGTTCCCCACTGCCGGGTGGTTGTTTGGCAAAGCAGGTGCTGGAGCGTTTCAGGAAATCCTCACCCTCTGGAGAGGCTGGTCCTCCCAGGAGTGGAGCTTGATGGCTGGAAAACTGAGTTAAAGATGGCATCCCTGTGGAGCATGCAGGAGCTGGACAGAAGGGGCTCCTGCTCTCCGCTGTGCAGCCTCCAGGAGCGTGCGGGGAGGGGCACGGTCTGTCCGCCCCGTTGGGTGGTCTGCGGCCTCGCTGGGTGTGTCTGTCCCCCTGCACCCAGGGCTGCAGCAAAAGACCCTCCACCTGGGTTAGGCTGGGACTGGTGGGGGCTTAATGTCTCAGTCCCTGGTGGGATTGCTATTGGAAAGCACTTTCTCCACAATAATCCAACAGGAATAATGCTGTGGGTGTGAGCACAGTTTGGGCTCCATGGTGGCTACCCTGAGCCTACTCTGAATGCTTGTTTTTCCACTACCTCCTGGCTGACCAGGAGCTGCTCCTCACTGCAGAGGCTAGTGGAGGCATAAGGAGTGACCTTGTGTTCAGGACCCCATCGTGGTCTGGGGGCCCAAATTCCTGCCCAGAAGCTCCCCTTGATAGCGATAAATACATTCGGTGCAAAGTGGAATCCTTCAGTCCCAACACATGCAGGAGGGTGTGCTGGAATATTTTCCCACACTGCATGGATAACACTGCCAGATCCTGGTGCTGTGGACACTCCTCCACCCCCCGCTCCCCCCAGCATGCACCTCCTTCGCTGCCTCCCCAGGCGTTTGCAGAAGGGCGCCGTGTGCCCCAGATACAGCGGGGCGAAGCTCCCAAATTCAGCCCTTCCCTTTATCTTATCTGTGAGCCCCTGGATCTCGCAGCCGCTTCCTGGCTGGTGACATGCGGAGGACAGGAATGCCTCTCGCTCCTCTCGAGGTCGTTAACGGGAATGTTAAACAAACAGGGCCTAATGTCAGTCCCTGCTGTTCCTCACCAGACACCTCCCCAAACGCGATCCCTCCCCACTTGCTGCTATCTTCTGTTTAGTTTTCCAGGCAGCCACCAATCTGCGTGGCTGCATCTCTCCTGGCATTCCCGAAGGGTAGTGTGGACAGGCAGCTGCCTAGGTGCTGCACTCCCACCCCTGTGGCAGGCAGAGCTTTTTCCAGCAGCTGGAGGAGCTCTCATGCTTCCCGTGGACACTGGGTGTAGTGTCCATGGCTGCCTAGCAATAAAACCCTGTGTGTTCACCCCGCTCTCTGGAGTGCCTGTTACAGACATGTGGGTTCTACTCTAGAAATTAGTTCTTGCTCTCCTGGGAAGTCACTGGGAAGTTGTGGGTCTGCCCTGAGTATGAGGAGTCTGGAGCTGGCTGCATAGATGCTCAAACTGGCAGCTGAAGTCTGTGTGTCCTCCTGGCTGGTCTGAAGGGCCTGTTTGCAGCTCCATGGCTGGTGCCTGCTGCTCTTGAGGTAGAGCTTGGGGATCCTGGACTGCTGAAGGTGGCAAGTGTTAAACGTGAAGTTGTGCTGGGAGAGCCCAGGTGAGGACCTGGCTAAGCTCTGCCAGAGAGGGTCATCTTAGGAAGAAATACTTCCATGTGGTAGGGTGGAGCCCTGGCACAGGCTGCCCAGAGAAGCTGTGGCTGCCCTGTCCCTGGAAGTGCTCATGGCCAAGGTGGATGGGACTTGCAGCAACCTGGTCTAGTGGAAGGTGTCCCTGCCTGTGGCAAGGGTGGAATGGGATGGTCTTTAAGGTCCCTTTTAAACCAAATCATTATGTAATTCTGTGATCTTCCCTGTTGGTCCATGGAAGGCTGTGGGTTAGAAAACTCTGTGTTGGAGAGGCAGAAGACTCTTGGCTTCCAGACAACCTCCTCAGTAGCAAGTCCTACATCCCTTTTTCCTTAGCTGCTGCACTCCAGGGCTGCCGGAACTGCCTGGGAATGCTGCTGGTGAGTGGGCTGTGTTATGTGCTGGATGTCTGTAGCACTTCATGGACTGGTGCCAGGCATCTCTTGACTTCTGTAATCTCTGCTTGAGTGGACCTAGATACCTCGTGCATGTGTGGATTCCAGCTCTGCAGCTGCAAACAAATAAGGTTAGTGTGAGTTCTGGAGTCAAATGTCTCCTCTGATGCTGCTCTTCACTGTGAGGAGCATGAAGCTGTAGTAGTTACAGTCACCACTCACTAATCCTCTTGCACTTGGCCTGGCTGAAGCAGGACGGTGCCTCAGAGCTGTTTTCATGCGTCCTAAAAGTCGCCTAAGTGTTAGATGCAGCTTTCTGTCAGTGACAGATTGTTGGCTGAGCAGACACCCTGGAGTCACCAGGCACACAGGGGTTCTGGGAACTGATGTGTTCCCAGACATCCTCTTGGTCTTGAGTTGAGCACTGAGCTGCTCTGACAGGAGGAGGGATGTGGGAATCTCCCCATTATCTCCTCATGTCCTGTGAATACCCTCTGAAGGAGCTTCCTTCTCCTTTTTCACTCTTTCAAATCTGAATTTCTTAGACATGAGTCTGAGCATCAACATCCCAACTCAACTAGTCACCATGATAGGGTAATTTCTTCCTCCTGCCAGCTGGGCTATTAAATGAGACCCAGCTTCAGAAATGAGTCTTCCTCCTTGGCTAATCTGAGGAGCTGCTGAGCAGGACTTTCCCTCCTTAGCCTCAGAATTAATGGATTTTTGATGATGCTTGTGGAAGTTAGGAAGGGCCAAACTCCATGGTTCCTTTTCTAGGTCTCTGTTTTGCCGTCACCAAAGTAGCAAGGATGCCCTCTGAGATTTTTGGGAGGTAGCTAAGAGTAGTTCAGGCTTTATTGTCCTTCCTCATAGCTCTGCTTGAGAATCTGGCACTGTAGGAGTTCAAGACTCTTGCTGGAACTAATGTGGAAGATTGTGGAGTGAAAGATCCTTTGAGTTTGCTGGTCTTGGCCGTGCCAAATCATGGAGACTTTGCTGCTTGGGTCTCAGAGCAATGCTGCTGCTGTTCTGGAGCTCTGCCTGAAATAAAGGCTTCAGCCTGAAGCTTCACTGTGGCATGGCTGTAGAAGTAAGGTGGTTAGACCCCACTGCAAGACTCAGCATCTTCCTGCACCTTGTAGAATAGTGGAAACCAAGTTCCTCCTGTGTGCCTGGCCCTGTGAAGGGACCTGATGAGGGACAGGGCAGTGGGGACAGCTCCAACACTGGAGCTGCTGCACCTGGCCCATAGTGAGGTGTGATCCTGAGCCAGGCAGCACATCTGATGAGGAGGGAGGAGTGGCACCTGGTGACCCTGCCCTTGGCACGGCAGAAGTGGGTGCTACAGGCTTAGCAAGGATTCTCCAGCGCCTGCCCCAAAGGGTCCTGGTGTGCTGGGGTGGCTGGAAACCCGAGGTGGGTGTTCTTATCCTTGTGAAGGTTCTCCA